GGAAGGAACAGTTTTACAAGCAAGTAGATGGTGTTGCGATGGGCTCACCGGTATCTCCCATTGTCGCCGATATTTTCATGGAGGACTTTGAGGAGAAAGCCCTGCTTACTGCACCAGTAACTCCAAGTTTCTACAAGCGGTACGTAGACGATACTTTCACAATTTTACCATCAGACAAAGTAACTGCATTTTTAGAACATCTTAATTCCATAAACTCTAAAATTCAATTTACTATGGAGTTAGAGGCAAATAATTCTTTAGCTTTCCTAGATGTGTTAGTCATTCGAAATCCTAATAACACCGTAGGTCACACTGTGTATAGAAAAAAGACCCATACAAACCGATACTTAAACGGTGAATCCCACCATCACCCTTCACAGTTAGCTACCGTGGGCAAATCTTTGTTGCAGAGAGCACGAGGGATCTGTGACAGCAAACACCTGGCCGCCGAGCTTCAGCACGTCAAGCAGGTTCTGCACGACAACAAGCTTCGGGTTCCGCGCCTACGTCACAGTGACCGAGTGAAGCCGGCCACAGTCGAGCGTGTGCCTGCTGTACTACCATATGTCAGAGGTGTCACAGACAAGATTGGCTACATCTTGAAGCGAGCTTCTATTAGAACATTCTTCAAGCCGCCGAAGAAGATTAGTCAGTTCTTACCATCCGTCAAGTGCAATATTCCTCTACAAGATGCAGGAGTATACATGCTTGATTGTGAGTGTGGTCTCTCATATATAGGGCAAACAAAACGATCAATAAAAACCCGCGTAAAAGAACACATAGCTGACGTGAAGCACCAACGTTCCGGGAAGTCTGCAGTTTGTGATCATATCCTAGACGGCCCCCGTCATTACATTAGATTTGATAAACCACAAGTCCTCGCGAAAGAACATCGATTCCTGCCAAGGATGATACGTGAGGCTATTGAAATTAAAAAACATCCTAATTTCAATAGAGAGGGAGGCTGGGTACTACCACCTGCTTGGGATCCTGTAATTCATAAAATTAAAACTAAACCCAAGCATACCACTGTAAGACTTCAAGACACAGTTAGTTCATTCTGCGTAGATCGGACCAAAATTAATAATTAAAAAGCTGAAGGTACTCCGGGTTAACTTTGACATCGGGACGTCAATCACCTCAGTCCCCCGTGACCACGGTTGCTGGAAAGTAACCGAAACGTCGGGAATATAAAATAAGTAAATTAAACGCGATAAAATCCGTAAAAATAGTTTTATTCAATGTGTAGTGTTCGCGTAAATATAAGAAATCATTAAGTACTTATATTTATATTAGTAGCCTCAAAAATACATATAGAAGAAATAGATGAGAGAATATATGATTGTATGTGATTTTAACTTCAACTGCTCTATTTCGTAATAGTTTTCTTGATGTAATCTTTAAACGTAAGTTTAGATTTCGCAAAGAGGTCAATGTGTCCAAATTGTTCATTATATGTACGAGCAAGCCGCGAAAGAACAGTGTTTCGACAGTAGTTTGAATGATGCCAGGGAGTTTGTAACAATGTAGTATTGCGGGTACGGAATTTTGGAGTACGAAAGGTGATTCTTGAGACAAGATATGGACAGTCAATATTACTGTTTATTATATCATATAACAAAGCCATGTCAAGCAAAATGCGCCTGTGTTCCAGAGATAAGAGATCGTGCTCAGTGCAACTGTCTGTGTAAGTATCGATTTTATTCCGACAGCGAAAGTTAAGGTGATTAACAAATATTTTTTGAATACGCTCAAGGCGGCTTTTGTAGACATTGTACTGTGGAGACCATATTGAACTAGCATATTCCAAAACACTTCTGACATATGCAAAATAAACCATTTTAATTGTATTAATATTCGAGAATGGTTTACAGATGCGAAGAACAAAACCAAGATTTTTATAGGCTTTACTGATAACGTAATCAATGTGTTCGGATAGTATCATTTTATGATCAAAAATTACGCCTAAATCCCTAATACTTACTTTTCGGCTGATTTCTAATCCGTCAAAGTGATATTTATTTAGAATTGGCTTAGATTTCCGTGTAAAACTAATACATTCGCACTTGCTTGCATTGACAGTTATATTATTTATTTTGTAATATTCAAATAAACGGTCCAGGTCTTTTTGTATCAATAGGCAGTCATGTATGGTGTTAATTTTACAAAAAATTTTCTTATCATCTGCATACATGAGGTAATTTGTGTGTATAATGCAGGAACCAATGTCATATAGGTAGGCATTGTAAAAAAGTGGACCTAAGTGAGAGCCCTGAGGAACACCTGTAGGTATGTTTATGTAGCTCGAACGGAAACCACCTATCACGACTGCTTGTGAGCGGTTTGTGAGATATGATTCAGTCCATCGGAGCAAGTCACCGTGAATCCCTAATGTTTGTAATTTGTTGAGCAGGATCATGTGATCCACACGATCGAAAGCTTTTTCAAAATCAGTGTAGATCACATCAACCTGCCCACCTTGATCCATATTTTCAAGGACAAAAGAAGAAAAACTTGCTAGGTTCGTAGTGGTGGATCGCCTTTGTAAAAAACCATGTTGCTGCTCAGGGAAGGCACGTGAAAGCGTGGAGTAAATTACGTTATATACTACTCGTTCAAGGATTTTAGCCGCGGTGTTCAAAATAGAAATGCCTCTATAATTATTTATTTCTGTACGTGATCCCTTCTTGTGTACAGGGATTATGTGTGCACACTTCCATTGATGCGGAAATATCCCTTCACGTAGAGAGCGATTAAATATAATAGTCAAGGGGAGAGCAAGTGATTTAGCGCATCGTGACCAAAAAAAAGAAGGTAACCCATCACTACCGGCACCTTTGTTCGTGTCCAAAGTTTTCAACATTTTTTCAATTATTGCAGCGTTTGTCTGTACATTAGAAACGGTGTCAGTACACAACGATTCCGTATGTGGATATATGTAGTTATTACTAGGAATACCAAATACACTCTTGAAGAATGAGTTGAAAGCATTGCATATGTCTATACCATCGGTGTACTCTATATCTTTCAAAGACATTTTCTTAGGGTAACCTGACCCACCCCGAATGGCTTTGACGAAAGTCCAGAATGTTTTAGGATGTGTTTTGATGCTATTTTCACAACTTGACGTAAATTTATTAAAGCATTCTCTCTGAACACGGTGTTCTCTTGCTCGGAGTAACGAAAACTCATCGTAATCTAATCTATTCCTGAATTTTTTCCAACGTGTGTGAGCATTGTTTTTCTCCTTAATTATTTTTATTAAAGCAGGTGTGTACCATTTAGGATATGATCGCTTCCCTGTGTTATAACTAAAAGGCACATGTAAACGAACACAACTATCCAGTATGTTATAAAAGGTATTTGTAGCTTCGTCTACAGTGCCTGTACATAAAAGAGACCTCCAGTCCTGTTCTAAAAGATATGTATTAATTTTTTCATAATCAGCCCTCCTGAAATTTCGCCTCGGCGCAGCTGTTTCCCGTAGAGGAGTAATGTTTAAATCCAAAACTATGAAGCAAAAAGAAGGATGTGCGTGGTCCTCCCTGAGTAGCGGCGCAGCTGCAGGGATGATATTCAGAGGTAGATTAGAGAATGCAAGATCTAATGTGTTACCAGCATGATTTTTTAAAGTATTAAATTGTCTTAACCCGTGAAATGTTAGTGTTTCCATCAGCTGGATACTCGCTTCTTGTACCTCAATAGGCCCTTTTTTCATAGCTGTATATCCGTTTGGGTTCCAAGAAATGAACGGCAAGTTGAAATCTCCTAATATTACAAATTTATCATTTGGAGAAAGCTCGATAATACTATTAATTTTTTGTTCAATAAAAACGAGATCCGATGGCATTTGATGAGGGTCAGGGGCAATATATGCCACACAAATATGTAAGTTGGAATTTGAAGCGCACGCGCTTGAAGGAATAGTAATCCACAATAGCTCAGTAAGACCGCATACGCCGAGGTCACGATACATGGCACCGAGTGTACGTCGTGTCAGTATTAATACTCCACCACCAGTACTTTTACCACTATTACGTAAATCTCTGTCAGCCCTGAACACGTCATACCTATCGTCGCACAACTCACCATCAAAAATTCCACTGTGTAGCCATGATTCTGTCATAATTATAATGTCGTAATCGTACGTCAAAATATTTAGTCGTAATTCAAGACATTTAGTCCTAAGACCACGAACATTCTGATAATAACAGTACAAATTATTTACAGCCATTAATCAAAATCAAATATGTACCCAATTGTGTTAAATTTATAGTACTTTAAAGCTACACAGAGTAACAGAACTAATAATTTGTTTACGTTAGACTTAAGTAGTACGAACAATGATATATCACTTCGGCAGTTGCTAGTTAATAGTGACTTGATTTTTTGTATAAGGTGGTAGAGTATAAAATTTATCAATAAGATATAACAGAATGAATCCTTAAACGATTTGATTAATATAGTCGAGTCAACATAAAAGGGTGCGAGCTTATAAATATGCAGAGCAGTTATTAAATATATATATAAATATCGCGAATGTAACAATATAGACGTTTTAAGTATTGTTGTTAGATTTAATAAATAAATATTGAACGGGTAATTATTATGAATAATAACAATATAATAGATGAATTTATAGATTGACAAAGTAAAATAAAATAATACATAATATACAAGACGCCAGAAAAAATATAATTGGTATTTTATTAAATATAAAGGATATAGTAAAAGAAACCATAATATATATATAGTTGAGTAACGTTCGTGAAGAATATGCATGCAACTTAGCTGCACAATTATCGCGCGTGTGACTAATACACTTAAGACCAAAAATATTTCATTAATTGAGCTCCCTTTACGTGCGGTCAAACAATGATATATAATATAGACAAAATGAGATAAGAGAGACCAATGAATTGCTTTTACAACGATGGAATTGATAAATTTAAGCAATATAACGTACTTGAAAAGAGAACAAAACAATATACAATGTAAGATTAAATTAATTTTAAAACGTCTCTTTCCTGTGATATATGTAAAGCCGGAGATGTGTCGTTCTTCCTGACGTAGATCCTCCCGTTTTTTGTCCATATATATTGATACTGCTTAAGTTTCGCCGTCTCCCTACATTTCTTTAGTAGAAGTTTATTGAACTGTGTAAGATGCTCATTGACATATACGGGACGAACGCTGCCATGTATGGCAAGGTCTTTGGTGGTCAGTCGGTTTTTTCGAGTGCCAGAGATTATGTTGTCCTTTAGGAGACGGGATTTAAGCTTTGCAATTATATTTTTCGGGCGGCCCTGTTGTTTGATTTTCGGTGTGACACGATTAACTTCTAATATATCATTAGGGGAAATAGTTACATTAGACTGCTTAGCAATGGATATAATTAAATTGGTTAAGTCTTCATCCTTGATTTCAGGAACGCCGACGATCTCTAAGTTCAAAAGGCGATCTCTTTGATTATTTGTGTTAATTTCCAATTGTAATAGTCTGTTTTCGTTAGTCAATAAGTCCATTTTAGATTCTAGTGATTCGATTGCTTTTTTGTTAACAGATAATAATTCCATTTTCTTTTGAACATGGTCATATTGGTCGCAATTGAATTGTACAGAGTTTTCTAAAACTGTGATTTGCTTCATTGTCTCGTTGTACTTTAGGTCAAGAGATATGACCGACTTTTTAATCTCGTGATATTCCTGACGGACGCTGCTTAGTTCCGACATGATCTCAGCAAAGGATGCATTTAGTTTTTCAAGATCGGTTTTTAATACGAAGTCTAAATTATTTTTAATTCCTGATATTTCATCTTGAATTTCCTTTTTCCAGTCACGTAAAGTTCTACGTATCTCTGAGGTAAAATTATTGAGAGCCTCTGAGAAGTCGTTGTCGTGTTTATGCTTACGAGTAGTCATATTGCTAGGCTCACCTGATTTATTGATGTCAGGGTTGGAATTGTAAGGCTTGCGTGGCGTGGAATCTTTCCTTATATGAGATAATACACAATCTACCACTTTCTAATTTTGTTCGGCAAACATCAAAATCCGGCGGTGTTCACGAAAATGTCCGTTTTTCACTCCTAAAATTTTTTCGTGAAATTTGTGCTTATAGAAATTTACACCACTGTATAAAGCATCCTTTTTCGCATCAAATATATAATTATATATAAAATAATATTATAATAAATAGTTATTTTAAACAATATATTTCAAATATGGACAATTGTCACCTGTCACTTTTCTTCTTTTTTTGAATACTTGAATACTTTTTTTCTTATTTCTCAGACATGTAGGTTTCCTCACGATGTTTTCCTTCACTGCCGAACACGTGGTAAATCAGCACTTAAAATTGCAAGTAACAATTTCATTGGTGCCGGCGGTGATTGAACCCGGGTTGCTCGCGTACTGTGGAACTTACAGCGCGCTCTAACCATCTGAGCTAGCCACGGCTCTCTCTTAACAGGTCGTATTTTAATTTATGTTATATTAGCAATCCGCTCCGGATTCGCATGGATGATTTCTGGATTTCGACAACAGTGCCATCCACCAGGTCCAAATGTGAATCTAAACTATCTCGGGAACCATACAGACACACACGAAAAATTTTATCAAAATCGGTCAAGCCGTTTTTCACCGACTTCAAAAAAGAGGAGGTACTCAGGTATTTTTTAATGTGTGTTGTCTCATAAATAGGAACGGAACAAAAATTAATAATTTTTAATCTATAGGTAGCCGTGGTTAACTATGACATTGGGACGTCATACACCTCAGTCCCCGTGACCATGGGTGCTGTAAAGTGCTCGAAACGTCGGGAATATAAAATAAGTTAATCCGTATAAAATCCGTAATTAGTTTTATTTAAATAAACACCTGATGTTTTGTGCAATATTGTACTTATCTCGGACATGAAATAATATATGGCCACATCATCCATTTACGATCAGGTGGACTGTGTGCTCGCTTCTTACCCTTTTTTCTTTGTAATAAATAGACGGTTCTATCGCACTACCCTTCCTACAGTAGTAATTGACCTAGCTGATTTGTGTATCTCTTTGTGCCGACGAGATAAAAGTGTGCAGTGCCCCCGGGAACTAAGCTATACCCGTACACGTTATACAAGAGAAATATCTTAAGATTTTAATTTGACGATTCTCAAGATATTTCATATGTGGAAGAGCCATGCTGCAGCTATATTACTAGTATAGTTGTAGCACGAATGGGTAGGCTAGACCGGGGGAGGACCACGCTCTCACAGAACACCAGCGTAAGATAGCAGCTTGACACTGCTGTGTTACGTATGGTGAGAGAGAACCGGAGAGCCTTTTTACTGGAAACGAGGCATTCCATTTTAGTTCTCACGGGTGACAACGCATCTGCATTTTGATTCTAAATCGAGGATAGATATAGATGTGTATGGGCCAACAGCAACCACTTACCATCAGGTGTACTGTGTGCTCGATTGTCACCCTTATCCTATTAAAAAAATAAGATATACAGTCTAGCTGATAAAAAGTTAGTGGTCACGGGCCTCTTAGCCCGTAAGTCTACCGGTTTGGTAGCTCTTCAAATCAGATCACGTGAGTGGATGTACAGTTGCTGTAAATATACAAATAAGCCAATGTGGTTTTGATGGCAGCTCTTATAGTATTACTATTTATTTGGAGCAAGAAAAAGTCAGTTGCCTGTCCCAATACGAAATGATGAAATTCGCATAGTCTGGAAATATTTTAAATTTTGTACGCGTGTTGTTTTGTGGAAGTGGTAGGTAAATGACCAGGTAAATTTGCGATTTATAATTTGTGATGTCAGTGTGGCATCGAATAGTCAAGTTTGTAATGACCGCCGGATCGGAGGGGAATTGAGATAGCGTTATTTTCCGATACAGAACTGTCTGTCATTTTTTGCGGTGGGACCTACGCACACGAAAACTATTGTCTGTCACTACGAACCTCACACATTTAACAATTAAAACAAAAAATAGTAATTTCACACACACACACACACACACACACACTTATGTAGGTACATTATAACAGTATCTCTCAGTGACAGTGATAACTCGGATACAGACTAGGATCAGTTGCTCAACCAATCTGCACATTATATGAGGGCGAACAGCCTAGTCGTGTCTCAACAGACAATTCCGCATTTGTGTAGGACGTCGATTCAGTCGCGCAATTAGATTTAGTCTAGTGAGCAGTGCGGCTGCAACTAACTTTTTTGTACGCATAGAACCGCGTGGACTTATACTTTGACAGAGGGAAACGCCTGTGTATGGCTACTTTCCTCCGATACGCCGGTGATGGTGAATTATTTTGTTCTGTCTGTAATGAATAATGAAATATGTATGAATCATTCATATTTCATTATCATTATCAAATAAGGGGGATTTTAACATTCATGAATGTTAAAGTCCCCCTTATTCTCCTTATTTCAAGTTTAAGAGAAATATCTTAAGAGTTATTCTTGAATTAAAACTCACATGTTGTGCGCTTCAACCAATCAATCGATTGATTAGAGTTCTATGACTGAAGCCATGAAACGGACAAATCCAAATCACAATAAGTGCGAAAGAGAAAGAACATCAGAAAAGTTACATGCAATATTTATCTCGAGAGATGCAATCATTATAGAGCGGAAGGCAAATAGGGTGGGGTACACGATAGGAAAAATTTTTCGCTGTACATTTTCGCCAATTGACATTTTGTTAGAAATGAACTTTTGTGACGTTATAAAATTTAAATATTTATAATATATAGGTCGTATTTATTGAGTAGTAGTAGGTCAGGAGTGAAGTACTCGCCGTAAATGTATGTGTTCTATCTTAATAAGTACGCGAGCGACGTGGGTACGATTCCCGCCGGGACCGTTGAAATTGTTGATTGCAATTTTAATTGCTGATTTAACGTACTCTGCTGTATGATTTTGATCACCATCGTGAGAAAAATATGAACTCTTATGCTCACAAATACTGCTCAATTTTAAGATGCCGTTAAGTCTCGTGCAGTTTCTATCACTTTAATTCAAAGTGACTATGACGTTTGAGAATTGCGCCGTTAAAAAACATACAATTTATTGGTATATGCATACATACATACATAAACATAAACACTCACGCCTGTCACCCAGAGGCGTAGGCAGAGACTATGGACTTCCATTTGGCACGATCCTGACATCCATATAACTACGTATACTTGCTCGTCGGTTAAGGGTACTCTTAATTTGGCCCATTTTCAATATATCGCCAATTTGTACACGTTGCAATGACTCACAGCCTGTTAATATACTACATCTCTGTACCCTTCGGACTAGACAGCATGTACAGCTATGCAAGCACTGCTAATTGGCGACAGAAATAGGTAAAAGGCTGGTCATCTTGACATAATCCTAGGCAGTAAAAGGAAGAGGAATAATTAAAAAAGTAATAGCGACCTACTAGTTTTAAGTAAATTAGTAATATTTTTATTTTTTTATTTCTTTATAAGATAACGTTACCTCCAAACTAAGATTTTCTCCTGTATCTTGAGGGCAGATTACAAACATAAATTGCGCAAGGACAAACATCCAGACCTGGAACAATTATTTTAAGGCCATACAAATACTTGTTCCGTGAGGGATTCAAACCCGCAGCCCCCAACGCTGGAACTCATTGCTAAACCACTGCGCCACGGAGCCGTCGAGACATACCAGATTCGGAACAATCATTTGTAGGCTATACAGACGAGAAAGTATGGGATGCACAAGCGGGATTTAGAAAGGGAATGGGATGTACGGATCAGGTCTTTTCCTTGCGGTGCATAGCCGAAAAGTGTTTGGCTAAAAACAAGAAGGTCTACTGCGCGTTCGTAGATCTAGAAGAGGTCTATGATAGAGTGTTGAGGAATGAATTGTGGTCAGCACTGTCCATGAACGGTGTGAGCAGTATCCTCATACAAGCATTGCAATCTCTTTATAGGGATTCTAGTGCTTGTGTAAGGATAAACGGGGCATACACTGAATGGTTTAATATCGAAAAAGGTGTTAGACAGGGATGTGTAGCGTCACCTAGGCTGTTTAATCTGTTCATGGAAAATTGCTTGACAGATTTAAAAGAGAATGAAAGTGGGTTGAGAATGAATGAGTTACTCGTCAAATGTTTTCTCTACGCTGATGACCAAGTATTACTTGCGTCTTCGGCCGAGGAGTTGCAGGAGATGGTAACTGCTATGAGTGGAGCTTTTATTAGAAAGGGAATGAAGATGAATGTAAGGAAAACGAAAGTGATGGTGTTTGAAAAAGATGAGGCAGTGACAGACTACAATGTCGTGATTGAAGATGAACAAATTGAACAGGTGAAAGAGTTTGTGTATCTGGGTTCAAAGTTTAAAAGAGATGGAAAGTGTGAGAGTGATATCGAAAGAAAAGTGAATGCAGGAAACATGGTGAATGGAGCTTTGCACTCCTTTATGAGCAGTCGGAAGGTGTCTAACAAGGCTCGTTTGGCTGTGCATGAGGGGGTGTTGGTTCCGACACTCATGTACGGAAGTGAAAGTTGGGTGTGGCAGAAGAAACATGAATACAGAATAAATGCAGTTGAGATGAAAGCATTAAGAAGTATGATACGAGTTAAACTGAGTGACAGGATAAGAAATAGCGAAATAAGGAAATTTTGTGGTCTGAAAGAAGATGTAGTGACAAAAATTGAGAAAGGTATGCTGAGAGAATGAATGAAGAACGATTGATGAAAAAAGTGCATAAGGCGAGTGTGAATGAAAGTGTTGGAAGGGGTAGATCTAGGCGGACATTTCTAGACCAAATCAGGGACGTCTTGAAAAAAGGCCAGGTCAAGAGTACACTAAACCGTAGAGCATGTATGAAGGGAATAATGAAAGTGGACGAAGCGAAACAAGTATGTAAGGATCGTAGCAAGTGGAAAGAAGTGGTCTCTGCCTACCCCTACGGGAAAGAGGCGTAATTATACATGTATATATGTATATAATACAAAACACTTGTTTCGTGCGGGATTCGAACCCGCAACC